CACCAACACCACCACCACCAACACCACCACCACCAACACCACCACCAACACCACCACCAACACCACCTCCACCACCACCATCATCCTGGATGTAGCATGTACTACACTTTCGGGATTTACGCTCTCGATATTTCACACACTCGGAATCAATACTTACTCTCCATTTTGTATCTGATTATAGTGTTGGACATGATTTTGAAAAGGTGAAATTATTCAGTAATGTTAAAAAATGTTAAGGGTGAAATGAAAAAAATGTTAGTTCAGAAGAGAAAGCAAGTAACTTGTAAATATAATACACTTGAAATTCAGTGTAATTTGTACTATGCAAACAATTGAGTCAAACAATACGACGAGGGAATTTTAATATTTAATTCCGCCTCGGCGTGAACACCCCACCTGACAAGCTCGCGTTGAAGCAAGTCATCGAACTCGGAGGAAACTTCCTGGAGGTCGCCCGCGGGCGTACGCAAGACCTCCGGAGGACCCACGGGGACCGACGCCAGTGGCGGTTCCGAGTCACGTGACGCCCGCGGGGGCGACAGCGCCGCATTACTCTGATTTACGGGGCAGCGCTTAACGCCCGCGCCGCTTAGACCGGCGGCGCCGCCGTGGGAACGCGCCAACTTCGAGCTTCGCCCTCTAATTGGAGCGGGCGGGCGCCGCCCTCCAATAACGGCGCAGAACGTGTTGTTTGCGACGGCGGCGGCGGTGACGTCTGCGCGTACACCGACACGGTGCGGAATGCGTACGAACGGATGCGGCACCTGTCGCTATAAGATGAGACAGGCTCCGCCGACGCCGCTTCTATGTCGCGCTGCGCGTTGTCATATTCCGGACCGGGTCTTTTCGAAAAAAAATTTCGGTCGCACCAGTTGCTTTCGCCAATAGTTCTTGTGAATGTTTGATATGTTTAGAATACTAAAGTTCCGTGAAATGTGCATAACTCTCATCATGAGTTCTGTTGTTTCGTAGAGCAAATAAAAAGAATCGACTTTTTTTAAAAAAATCGTAATCATTCAAGTAATACCATTTTTTGTACTTCTATGTCGTTTCAACATCGTTTGGAGTAGAGGGAATCTCGATACTGGAGCTACTCACCCTGGACAGCCTAGATCACGCAAAACTTCGTCGCATACCTAGGCAGCCGTATGTCGAGAGCTTTGCATCACACTAGTCATTGAAGAGTCGACATTCGCGTGGGCGACTGCACCTATGCTGCAGGCAGGAGAAGGGGCGTGGAAGTGTAAATAGACGCCGAACGTTAAGTTGTTGATGTTGGCGAGAACTCGCTTTTGACGACCGCCCCGCCGAAGTAGCAGTCGTTGTGGAGTAAAGTGCGCGTTCACATCAGCCGCAGCCATGTCGAAAATCCTGCGGAAGACGCTATCTGACGCCGTGATTGTGGGTGCAGGCAAGTATTTCCGTCGTGATTATTTTTCACTACGCGAGTCTGGGTATTCTTACGGTTTTACTTAGGCTGTACTTTCTGGTTGCCTTGATGTCCATGTTACGTTCACGTGACGTTCATCTTAAGACGTAGTCAAAGTAAGGTTGCTTAGCATGTATGGATCTTTTTCTGTCGAAACGAAGAAAAAATACCGACACCTTGTTTACATTTTTTATTTCCAATACACTGACACGACGAGACGACGAGACGAGAAATTGACGAGAAATCATGACCCTTCATTCAACAGCGGGATGAACATTAATGAAGTTGAGAGTTGCTTTTCCCATAAACGACGTTCAGAAACAATGAAATTTTATGAATTCAAAGGTGCCTGAATTGCTTACCATCATTTGTTACTTTCTCAACAAAAAAATACAAATTACGGGACATATGTTATTTTGTTTTGTGGTAAAAGAGGAAGCATTACATACATGTGCAGGTGAAACCTTCCACCTGCTGGCATCGTTCCAGAAATTTACATGCTTGTCGTTCTACGTTTAGTTACTCTCAACTGCAATGATAAGTCGATTTCCATTGGTTGGTAGGTAGGTGCTCCTTAGATACCAAGGAGTTTGTGCACGCCACAGCGACAGCACTATCGATCTTCTGCGCATGCTCAGATGCACTAAAATTGTGCGAAACTTGAAACAGCGCATGAGCGTGAAGATCGATTGTGCTTTAACGTTGGAGGTTGTACAAACTCCCTACTAGAGTAATGCATCGCTTAAATTGACCTACCTAGGTCCATCAAAAATGTGTTTATCTCGTAACTCCAATAGCGTGTCTGGTAACCTTGCCAATTCTTACGTAACTGAGAGGAGATATACCAACAAACATTCGAATTCGAAAATGTCATTTTCTGTATTTTAAACTTTTCATTCGTGTTCCAGAATTACTCTGAAGTAAATGTTTTCGAGCCTTAAGGGAATAATTTGGTTTAATATTACATAATTATCTCCAAAACTGGTATTATGCATGAAACGGGCCCTTCCAGATAATTTGCCTCTTATAGAAATTCCACTGTAAAGAAATTAGTATGTCTTTTTAATGGATCTCTCTCCGTGTCATGTTCCCATTTCTTCGATGATAGGAAGATAATGCACAAACGTAACGGGAGAGTTTCTAAACACTCATAGAACGATAATACAAGGCACCTTATGTACAGCAATTCAGAGAAATATTCTAAACAGAAAAATGCACGAGAAGTTTATAGTGGCAATGCATTATCTGGACGGTGAAAGTAGGATTATAGACGACATCATTGAATGCGGAAAAATAACTGCTCATCTAGTGTAACAATAATTGTTTATTAATTTATTGTGGAAGACAGATCAATAATGCGGTCGCACGGGGGTGTCCCCTCTATTCTTAGAAGCGATTTAAAGAAATAATTTGGAAACAATTCTGTAAAATTGTTGCATATGTTCCAGATACTTTATGTTAAGTCCCCTAAACATTAGAGGGGGGATCGTAGGGATTTGAGTACCGCCAAATCGACTGGGAAATATTCATTTTGTAAAATATTCTACAAATTTCTTGCGCCCTAGTTCTGTTAACAGACGGCCGAAGGGACATGCACACGGAGGGACATGCAAAAAAAAACAAAAAACATTGTCTGTAAGAGAGAGGACGCCAAAAAATGTATATCTGCGTGGGTCTCAAAATCAATTTTCCGCTTTGTATGTTCGCGTACTCGCGTGTTCGCATATTACTCTAAATGTTCGCACCTGTATGAAAAAGCAAAACGATCCACGTATTGGAATGCATTTCTGTTCAAATGCAGTGTGTCATAGTTAAAACAGATAAGAGAGTTAAAAAAAGTGTCTAAAATTTATACTCTTAAGATATAAAATCAAAAATCCTACCAAACTGTATTATTATTATTATTATTATTATTATTATTATTATTATTATTATTATTATTATTATTATTTTAATACCATGATATGATTGAAATAGAATGAACAAAACGATACGAGGACTATACACTGTGATAAATACTTTTAGTTGTAAATGTTTGTGTACTGCATTGTGGCTGTGCTGCGAGTGGTGCGTTGCGTTGTTGGCGCAGGTAAGATGGTGCGGGTGCAGTCGGGGTCGGAGACGGAGACGGGCTACATGAGCGACAGCGGGATGAGCGCGCCCGACGAGCCCACCACCATCTTCCCGCCCACGTACATGGTGCTGGTGTGCTCGCGCACCATCAGCAACGAGGCCTTCATGTGGCTGCTGGACAAGGTGCGCGGCAAGCGGCGCGACGGCGGCGCCGAGCTGCTGGTGCGCCGCCAGCCGCACAAGCCCGGGGAGGTGAGTCCGCGCCACCGTCCACTTGCGGGCCAGCTCGACTCGCATCAGCTCGACTTGCGGTGATTAACAGCTCGAGCTGGCTGGATTTTTGTTTTTTCGTTTTGGCCTTCTTTCTCGTTTGTTTCTTGCATACATTTCTTTTTTTAAGTTTATTTCTACATCGTCATTGGTGTTTCTGTTATTTAGATGATTTGATGTGATTTTTGCAACTTCTTATTTCTCCTGTCTGTTCATCTTTTCTTTTCTTTTCGTCAAATGATCGTTCTCTTTATCTCTCTTTCTCTATCGTTCTCTTTATCTCTCTCT